ATTTTAGATCTGTACTTTTTCATTTTATATGATTTTATAAGTATTTTCAAGAGCACACGGAATTGGTTTGGAAACTAAAACTATTTTTTTTTTTTTTCTTATAAGAAAGAAAGAAAGAAATCTTTAATATTTATTATGTCCTGCCTCATCCTCATTAGAATCAAGCATACTCCTCGGTAAACTTTAAAGTAATTGCTCCAGATCTGGCGAACTAATTGTTCAAGTTTAATTGGGATTTCCGCAGTCAAACATTTCATTAAGTTGTGGCCCGGAATGCGGATAACACAATTTATTCGCTAGTTGCCTGACAAGTTGGCGGCGATGTAACGGCGGCCCGAGCCGAGTTGGTAAATATAATAAAAAGCCAATTGGAAATTGCGCACTTGTGCCGGCGCTGCCTTGAAACTATTTACCATTTCGTATGTCCAACTACAAATGGCACTTAAGGGAACTTGATTCTCCTCCAAGCCAAAAGACCACAAAGAGTGCCCCGCCTACCCTCTACCCTCTATCTCTGCGGTCTGCGCTGCACAGATGCGAGCCAATAGGCTGAGAGGCGTTTGGCGAGTGGCAGATCAGGGACCCAATCGCAGCTCAAAGTTTGCAAAGCCACATACAATGCGAAAGTTGCATCCAACTTGGTGGCAAACAACGCCCACAATTTGGGCCCCCGACCCCCCTCTCAGCAATATAATGCCAAATGGCGACATGAATGTAGTAAAAAAAAATGAAGGGAACCGAGTGAAAAGCTCGACGATGGGGCAGACGCGGAGCTCGGGCTGTGTTTGATGTCAAGTGCAGTTTTTCGCATTGCAAGGTCCATTGAAAAGTTTTTCGCGCTGGCCGCACCTAACCAAAATGGCGAACGACCGCATATTAACCGTTAATAACTGTACTTTAATGCCTACGCTCGGAATGCTGCCAAGTTTGTGAAACAAAACAAAATTTGCATAACAACAGGCGGAAACTTTTTGTGTTTTATGATTTCTCTCCACGCCTTTCACGCCCTTGCCTCGCTCCTCGCTCTCTCAGTGCTTTTAGCCTCTCTCTAATGTCGCTCTCTCCCTCTCTCTAGCCCTCTTTCTCTCCACATTCCTTTTGTTTTTTATTTCGTTTCATTTTTGTGCCGGACTGCAAAGTAATTACAGTTGGCGCCGGTCACCAGCCGGCACTGAAGTCCTCTATGGCCCCGCCCCCTCAACACGTCGCCGGGGCGCACGTGTAAAAACAAAGTTTTCCCCAATTGCAATTTTCAGCTCTAGCCAGTCCTAGCCACGGCTTAAAGCATTTTCCTCAGCACCTGCACAAGTTGAGGTGAGAAGAAGCCATTCGCATAGCTATCCGGCTCTATTCTCTGCCGTGAATTCATCTTAGCTACTTGGCAAAATGAAGAGAAACGAGCTAAATGATTTCTTTGGAAATCGGTAAGTGCCTCGGACACTGAGTGACATTTGTAAATTGATTTGTTTTCTCGGAATTAACTTTTATATTCATTTTTTTTTTTTTTAATGTAATTGATAAGTGGTATCTTGCCAACACGCCTGGTATAATCAGTAAATTTTTTATATATATTTAAAACTCACTGAACCGGAGCAGTTAACGAATTTACCTGCCTGGTTGCACAATTATACAGCCGGAGCGCCCGACAAATGGGCCCATACAAATGGCCATTTATGCTTCAGGACAGGCAAAAGCGCGTTGATTTATGGAGTTGAAATGCGCTTAACGCATACAAAAACTCTGGCTGAAAAGGTATTTTAATTAGTTAGTCCAGCTGCATTAAATTTGAATGCGACACGTGGCACGTGCATCATTAATCAAAAGTGACCCAACGGCATCATACATCAGGCTTTGGTTACAACAACAACAACCACAACAGCAGCAACAAGACAATCTAGATGCCGTCATCCTCAGGCTGCTGTTCGACAAACCCAATAACATGCTGTAAGCGTCAAAGTCTTGGCAACTGGCCCAGTTGTCCACCCAGCCAGGCACATACATACATACATGTATATGCACACATCTATGTATGTCTCTCTGTCCAGGTCTGTCCATAATTAAAATTAAACCAGCTGCCCACAGAATGTCCCATGTCAGCTATTCTCAGCTGGGGGCGTCAATGAGAGGCGTCGCCTGATCTGGATTGACGCCTGTCGATGCGTGCCACTCAGGCTCGTTTCTCGGCGAACTGCCGTTATTCACACCTTGTAGCTGCTGCTCTCTATTAAATGTACATTTTCTGCTCATTATTATTACCGTTAATTTTAGTCATAGTTCATGTTATTATTGAATTCCTCGAAACTATCTATTGAAATTCAGTTCGAGCCTGAATAAATTCCAATGCGAAATTCTTGTTGAAAATATTTCTAGCTATCGATAATGATGAAATGCCAGACATCAGCAACCTTTAATAAGCTCAGCTCTGTCTGTCTGCCTCTCGCTCGCTCTTCCTCTCTCGCTCTTCCTCTCTCTCTTTCACCAT